TGTACTTGTGCCTTGCGTGGCCTCAGACTTGAACAGCCCTTTCTGTGCAAGCCGTGCTGCAGCTGACTGTCCCTAAGAAAAACTGGCAGGCAGCTGAGCTACTGTCTTCCGACGTGCTATTATCGCTACTCACGCACAGCTGGCTGTCTCTTCATCACCTATCGACTCAAAAACCCGTGAGTCGGAAGAACCGACGGAAAACCAGAACGACTCCCTTCCAATCGAACATGAAGTGCTCTGGCGGCGAGCACCTGCAGAGATGGCCGATGATCAGGGAGACCACAGTTGCGCAAACAAAGGCTGCGAAGCCTGCAGTCGGAGTCTGACTGAAAGACGACGTATTCTCGATAATCATATAGTAATCTAGCCGTCCATACAGCTCTGAATGCACCAGCAGCGTTCACAGCCCCTGGACTTAAGTCACATGCAGGCGTTTAATTATCTGTGTTTCATGCGCATGCACCCTCTATGTTACACATGCATGTCTAGAGTTGCTGAGGGAGCTCACACACACACAATGACACATGCACGGACATACGCATACGTCAATCCATTCATGCATGCACACATGCATACACATACACACATACATATACACATGCACACGACATGATTCAGTCCGTTGCCATGCATGCAAGCATGAATGCGTACGCATGTACCTCTGCACATACTTCTGTAGCAGGTTAAGCTTCCGCATGGTTAGCTGGCTAAACGGTTGTACCATGCAGTCTTCACAGTGCAATACCAGCAAACAGACCACCACGAAAAATGAGCTTGGACTATGAACAGTGTGGACATGTTCCCACTGCGAAAAATGCGCCTAGCTCCTCGTTGGTTCTCAGGACCATCCGCATTGGATCCGAGCCCGGCTTTGGAGATGTGCCGGCAATCTGCAGAGATGCGGGGGACGTTCTCTGATTTTTGGCATCTGAGAATCTCAGCTCCGCCGACTGCCGAGCCCTGCCTCTAGATGAAAAACTCCACTGAGAAATTGGACGGTAAAGACATCCACCAGCCTCGCTTGTTCCAGTGGCAAAGGCCATAAACGCGACTGCAGCTGACTGCAAAAGCGCAGCAATGAATTCCTAAACGATCGTTTGACACTGTGGCTCGCACGAGAACTTTCCGATGTCGTCCATCAACACCTGCTGCCAGTTGTGGCGGCACGTTTCTGCGATTGCTCTTCATGCATTGGTTGAGACAGGCGGCAAGAATGAAGTTGCGCAGCCGCAACGGAAGAAATCTTGAAGGCATGATCCAGCTCACCATCATCAGGATTAGCTTGACATACCTCGGGGGCTTCCACGAAGAAAGTGTCTCTCGGCTCTTTACCCCGACTGCAGATTAGCCGATTCTGCAATAGCGATCATATCTGAAAAACTCTGAAAGATCTCAGAGGATTCGTTGGCATGCTGCGGAATGGCTAATGCGACACATGCGCACAGCATGGTCGCCTGGATGCTTACAGCATCTGAATGCAAGACCAGCAACGGCAAGATCGCGGAGAAGCATAGCAATACCCAAGACATTGCTTGGAGATCACTTTCGTAGTACAGCGCATTGATAGAGTAGAACAAAGAATACACCATGACCTCAGCTGAAAGCCTTGAGATGGGAAGCGAACTCAAGTGCTCCACGAGTGAACCCACCCGTGGCTCCGTCTCGAGGCAAATGTCAGGCTATCGTTCTCAACATGCTGGACAAACCGAGACACTGCATAGGCATTCCATATGTAGCTTGGGGCCTGTCGGTTCCGTGCACATGCAGAGCATCTCTTGCGGCTCAGTCCTGGCGAAGTTTGGGACTTCGGTTCCAGCGCCTCCTCCAGATTCACAAAGGTCTGGGCCATGAGCAGGTAGTTCGACCTGGATCCGGAAGACAGGTATTGACGATTCCTTCCTTCGCATGTGCCACATCCGTCAATGCGCCAATGCAAAATGACCCCTGAGCTCCCGTGGGGCATCTCTCAACTCTGCATTTTATGGGATATTCAAGTAGTCTGACTGCTCAACACCCACGCCGCAAGCTATGACACTGGCCTGTTTGTGGCAACTTTGCACGGCGGTACACTGATACCAGCAAGAAAACTAATCATCGGCATGTCTCGCCACTCCTTGACATGCAAAGAATAAAGAATAGGTGTAAGTCCGCGACCCCAGCAGGAAGAACAGGCATGCAACAATCGCCAAGGGCAGAAGCACCTGAGCATGAGTCGCTGGATTGGTGCAGAGCCCCGAGCAAGATGTGCAGTTGTCTCCAGAATAGAATATTGATTTCACGACATTCAAAGGTTAACATGCTCACCATGCTCTCGAATTGCTTCCATGTATCTGAAGTTGCCCAGGTAGCTAGAAACTGCCCCCTGCCAGACATCGCAAGAAGCATCGCCCCCCACTAACCTTCAGGCACCGCCAGTCCCCGTGGAACGCAGGTGGACTCGCACAGGGCATCTGCGTACCAGAACCGGCACGGCCTCCCACTGCTGAGTGTTGAGACGAGAGGGGGGGAGGAGAACTATGATTATGTCAAATCTACACTGCCTGCACTTTCGGGCATTGCATGAATTTGCAGGTATATCTGTCGTACTCAAGGATGGTCGAAAAACAGACAAGCTCGGATGGTTGTGCCCATTCGTCAGATTCTCCCTCCAGCCCAAATATGGGCAACCTGGTAACCACATCCATCCATCCGTCCCTCCGTCCATCCATCCATCCATCCAACAACTCCGACAGGATGTCCGACTGACAAACCGTCACATCCAGCATAAACACTGATGCTCCCGGGAAAAAGTGGTGTCATGTCTTACGGTGGCAAACTCCCTGCACGGCTGCCTTCGATAGTTGCACCAGACAGCAAGTGGCACGGCAGCCAAAGCTGTAAAAAGGGCAACCCAGCAACCTTGGAACTGGCTCGGGTGAATTCCTGCGACTCGGAGGATGGCTGAAGACTCTCCGAGGCTTTGAATTTGGGGCTGGCAAGCCTTCGGATCCTGCAGGAACTCAGATAGGCCATCCGAAGCTTAGGAATCAGAGCCACGCTGCATCTCTTCCCAAACTCTGGCAGGATGAGCCGCCGGCCTGCCACCAGCATGATTAATAACGTGGGAGCTGCAAGGACTGACTATGGTGCCTGTGTACTGGTAGACCTCCTGTCCACGAGGCACGGGACAGACCTGCGTCTGCAGCCCGTGCATCCAGTCCGTGAGGCCTCGGAGGATAGGCGGTGGCCAACGTCTCTCTTTCCACAAGACATCAGAATCCCGAGGCTCATGACAGGACTTGGGGGACCCCCTGGCCCTAGCTCAAGCAATTCCGCACAGTCCCATCGTCCGACCTGCTGTGCACTCTTGCGTGGTTTAGCAGGGGGCAGGGGTGTGATAAACCTTCCCATTGATCCTCGGTTCTTGTCATCCTCAAGCCTCAAGGCCCTAGGCCAGGTTTGAAATTTCCGCTCCAAAGGGCTTTCGTTCCAAACTCCGGCCATATGGTTCTGGAGGAGTCCTGGCACTCTCTGGGAGTGAGGCTGCGCGCAATTCAAGCCAACAACAAACAAACAGCACATGAGGCTTGAGGCCCTGAGGCTAGAGTTTGGGGCCCCCCAACGCCTTGGACCACCTCCTGCGTGAAGTTGGCCGTGCCCGCAGGTGGCTCAAGCAATAACGAAGCGCTGTGAAGGAGAGCCAAAAGCAAGGTGGGCCGTGACCTGAAGTCCCAAGCACCACAGGGACATCTTTGAATTGTTGGTAGCTCGAGTGCAATCATGAACAGCTCTGGATTGAAATTCTTGGCAAGCATCTCATTGGAGAAGGAGCCCACAGAGATCTGCTGGAGCTGGAACTCCGAAATTAAACCTGAACAGCAGCAATCCTCACCCATGTGGAGCGGCACTCGTAAAAGATTGGCTCACGCAAGCGACTGCAGGGATGCAAAGACGAACTTCATCTGGGTTCTTGGATTCGAAGTCAGACTAAACCTGTCCTGGCAAGTCACGGGTCAGCTGCACGTCTTCCATGCACGGGCCCAAGCATGCCGTCGAGTACAACCTGGATTTCGAGCAGTTTGGTAACGAAACCAGGGTATTTCGATTCTGTCGGAGATGGAACTGGGCGTGCTTAACGCTCTCTCATACTGAGATTTGTCGGACAGCAGTGTGGCAGAGTCCGATAGAAGAAAGGACATCGTACACCTTGAAACCTCGAGTTACTTGAAGAAACTCCGGCTAGAGATTGGCGAAAACGACTGCACATTTTCATCTGGGCACATGCCCCGAAGGCCACAGGAGGTTATAGCGAGCCCCGAACTGAAATGACATGACCGGGTCCTGAATGGAACGGGAGACAGACCCCAACACACGGTGCAACATGAAACGAGGCTCTGTGTGCAGATGATCTTGCAGTCTACGCACAAAAATCCATGTGGAGGTTGTGGTAAAATCTGATCTCAAGGCCCTTGCAAAATGCGGGCACATGCTGCAGCAGTTCCACGGGGATTCATCTGATCGGATCTGTTCTGCTTGAAAGATTTCTTGGAAGTCCGCAGAGCTGCATCATTTCCCACGCTGCTAGAATCTTTCCTGGACGAGAGGCTGTGGGCCAGGCACTTTGCTGTATTTCAATGCATCCACGCCGGCAGTGACGTTGGCCTTATGTCACGTCGACTTTCTGCGAAAATTATTGAGGCAAGAGAACCCCGGTGAACTGACCACTCTGAGGTGATATCTGCGTCTCCCCGCATGCACAAACGTCTGCGTGTAAGCTTTGCAGCAGCGTCACTCCAAGTTTGACGTCGCGCAGGCTCAGGTTCATGCGGAAGAGCTCGGAGAAAGACCCAGTGGAGTTTTCTGAGCCGGCACCTTCGGGGCATGCAAACCGAAATGGCACAAACCCTAGCGAAAGCTGCAAAACCCCTGACCCCAGAACAAAGCGGAGGAATGCGGAGGATGAGGGCGAGAGGTGTTCGAGGATTGCTCTTTCACAGCCTCTGCCATATTGCCGGTACTACCATGTCCTGTTGATTGATACGAGTTCTGCTGGCTATATGCTAGCTGTCACGGCCACTCGCAACGTCTGCGGCCAAGCCGCCGCTTGAGCCTGTCAAGGAAACGTTGAAGACAGGTCGGACAATGAACTCGGGCACCGAAATATTCGCAGCCTCGGACAACTGAACAGAACTCAGGATGACTCGAAGCAATCAGAGCGAGCACTTCACGGAGCGAAGCAAAGTCGAGTCGAGGTCCTGCTGTGCGATCCGACCAGCCACCGGTACGGACGGCACAACAGCCGAAGGGGCCAAAGCGCGATTTTGTTGTAACATCTCGGCTCCGGGCTAACGAGGCATTGCGTGCCAAGAGCGGCGTCACCTCGAAATCGCCTCCAATCTGAAGGAGTGCAGTCGAGCAAAAGCTTCTCAAAGCCACATGTGAGGTCGTGTAGTCCAAGGAGCTCGAGTTCCAAACAGTCTCGAAAAGACTGGCAGTCAAAGCTGTGGAAGCATTCGTCTCCACGGTACAGTCGCTCGCATTGCCCACAAGGCACACCTTGGACTCCCCAGCAGTCTCACGTTAAATTATCCACAGAGTTGGAACATGCACGCCCTGAAATCTTGCGCGCAGCCATACCCAGCCATCCTAACATACAGGTTCCAACTCTCAAAGATTCAGGGTTGCAACTCTCAAAATTCGCCAGTACTTGGGGGGAAGAATTGGGAAAGCACTCCCGAATCCTTCCTGAGCCCCGTCAGCACTTGTGGAAAAACAGTTGGGCCGAGTTTCTGAATCCCCCCAGTACCTTGGTGGGAAACTTCAGGGCCGTGGTCTTCTGCCAGTATATACTTGGGGGAAATACTTCGGCCACGGTCCTGAGTCCGCCCGTACTTGGGGGAAGAATTTGCACGGCTTTCCCGACTCCTCCTGAATACCGCCAGTACTTTGGGGAAAGCATTTTGGCAGTGGATTCTCCTGAATCCCAGCAGTATTTGCGGGAAAAAGAATCCCGCCAGTACGTACTGATGCGTGCTGCCTTCCCCATACCAGAGATCTGAGGGGAAGAGAACTGGAACTTCGCATAAAGAGCATTTGGAGCCTTAGCCAGAAGCACCACCAGCACGTGGCCCGCAAATTAGAGTTGGAACTTCCACCCCAAGGGTCAAATGCTCCTGGAACAGCGTGCCAACTCTCCGGCGTTCATTACGTAACGACAACAATTGCAGTTGCTCAGCACACTGGCCCTTGCAGCTCCAACTGTCATCTAAGCGCCGTGGAGCGCGGCTTCAGAGAAGTCTAGGCTGTTTCTGTCACATGTCGCGTTCCGTTGCTGCCACCTTGGTGCTCGCCTCAAACCCGCGAACCACATGCCATGCCACTGGGAGCTCGTAGCAGGTGGGCCCTTCCCCAACGATGCACCGATTGCCAATGATCTTGTTGTACACCTTGCTGAAGCGAACATGTCTCGACTGTCCCGGAACCTATTCTATGGCTTCTGGCTGTCTGGCTTCCATTGCCAAGCCATGGGCTAGAAACTGCTAGCCGCTAGCCGACGCTACCATGAACCCCATGAACCCGTAGCTATAGCCATAGATTGGGCCTCGTTCGGCTGCAGGAACTGCTCCTGGCTCCATGGAGAGACGGGGAGGGGTGGGGCACCGGCTCTACTGAAGCCTTGACAAAGCTTGCTCTGAGCTTTGCTTACTGTGCATGGACGTCGCCTGTAGTCCGGCGATACCATGCGTCAGGGGATGGTTTGTCCAATCCACCCAGTTCTCACGCGGCCAGGGAGCATCGTGCGAGGAGTTCCTTAGAGAAGGGCGAACCAGTTGATTGCACATGATTCAGCTCTGCGTCTGCTTCCCAAAAACTTGCAGATGACCTCCATGGCCCAATTCTCCCAGAACCACCATACCTCCAACCTTTCTCTCAAAGTCCGCCCACTTGGACGACAACAGGGTGAGTAGAAAAGGATGCACCAAGCCGCGCTAATCTTGACTCCTCCAATGTCCTGGCAACATCTTGTGTTTACGTGTCGATAAAATTTTGACTTGCGTGAGCTTCCGAAAAGGAGACTTCCACCTCTGCTTGTGATAGGCTCAGCACGATCAGAAGCAGATCTAATCCTGCCATTACTCTGAATTTCCCGCCCGCAGGCTGGATCTCCCCGAGGGTCCTTGTCAAGAAGTCGGTCAACGAATTTTGCGCATCAGCCAGCGCATCGCCACAGAGGTATTCCGACAGCTTCTCATTGACAAGACTCCTTTCATGCCGCGTGATCGTGGACGCGACACCCCGGATTCTGCTGCCACGACAGAGAACTACTGATCCTAATCCTGCGAGGACTTTCATACCAGAAAACGCTTAGCATGGCTAGCTCGCAACGATGGGGGCATCTATGTGTGTTTTCGGTTCTCACGCTGATTAACCCAACCATGTACTGTCAACATGTGCACAATGCTGTCCAAGGGTCTGCAGCTTCTCAATGACACCTGGCCTCAGCACAGCGCAAATTTATGAACAGCTCAGGCCCACAGACGAGTCAACGCGGGTTCCGTTGTGATTCGGGCCCGACCGACTCTGAACGACAGTTTACACATACTTGGCTCCTTGGAGTGTTCGGTGCGATCTTGGCCGCAGAGAGTCTGCGTACTCCAAATCAAGCTTTCTTGTATATGAGGCCAAGAAAGGATGGTCCGAAGCAGACCGCGACACTAAAATCACTAAGGCCTGAGCAGGAACTGCGCGAACTTGGTCCAGAAGGTCCCAGATGTGATCTGCAGCTTCAGATTCAAAGTACCTAGCAGCGCGTCGTTCATCAGCTTTTGCTGCGATTCGTAGCAACTCGTTGAGTCCTTGTGCAAGGAGACCTTTGGAAATCTCTTTTTTTCTCCGTAGGAGTGGTTTTATGACCCAAGGCATCCCCACAAAACCAGAAACATCCCTCACAGTTGTTCATAGTGTCTTGCAGTATCTTCCAGTATGGTATCGTAAAGACGGCCAGGGAGCTGTCGCAGCCGCCCAAGCGAGCATCTATTGCCCGGCTGCTGCGCAGAGGCCAGGGCGGCACGAACCTCAAAGTGCCAGCACCATGCAAGCATCACCCGGCGTGATGAAACGAACTGCGCCACACTCTCCAGTGAGTTCTATACCGTAGCGTGGCTTTGGGGCGTCCGTAAAGTGGACACGGCATCTCTCAAACCCTCAGGAACGCTCCCCCTTGAAAAACTTCTTGGCCGATCATCCCCGCTCCTCGAACCCTTGAACCGCAAAGTTCTCCGAGGTCCCCGGCACGGTCAGGTCAGCACTCGCTTGCTCCGTCGCCAACAAGGCGGAGGCCTGGCCCTTGAGGCCCAGGGACGTGTCGTAGTCCACCTGGCTCGCGGGCTTTGCGCGGGAGGGCATCTGGCAGACAAGTTCAAAGATCTTCGGTAGTGATAGCGGTGGTGGCGGTGGCGGTCGTGGTGATGGTGGTCGTGGGGCAGTCGTAGTCGTCGTCGAAGGCAGACTAGGAGTAGTAGGAGTAAGAGCGTGAGTCAGTAGCAGCGATTACAGTGTGTGCTGCTATGCACTTCCACATTCGTCAGTAAACGCTGCCCAGCCTGGCCGGAACACTTGAAGCCAAGACCCGCGACGTGGAGCAGGAGCCGCGAGCCCTACGGCTTGGTGTTTCGGGATGAGCTTGAGGGCTCCCGACATCCCTGTTTCCCACTGTTGGCGGATAAAGCTTAATTGTTGCATCGTCATCGTGTCAACCACGGAACTCGAAACAAACAGGCCTCTCGATGTTGCTGCGATTACTTGTGGAGCACAACCGTTAGAATGAGGAACAAAAGGATTGATCAGCAACAGGCTAGTGAAAATGAGCAACTGATGATTGCAAGAGACGTTCGAGTAAGGACCCCAGCCGCTAGCCATAAAAGAACAACAAATGACAGAGAACAAGTGTTCATAATGATAGTAGTACTAGTTGGATTCAAAATCGGTGGTATCACGAACTCGACCACAAACAGCAGTAGAGCGCTCTCTGCCGTTTACAGGTAGTAAGAGTACTAACCACATGTCCTTAGCAATCATGCGGACTCATGATCGATGATTTAGTGACATAAGACTGCATATTGCATATGTCACACGAAGTCAGTGAATATGGCAAACGGACTTGACAGTTGACCATGTCTGTAACTATGATTTTTGGAATGACCCGTCAGGTTAGTGACACAGAACCTGCAAGAACTCTTGTGACAACGACCATTGCAACAAGACATCAATCAAAAGTCACAAGGTAACGATAACAGTAAGAGTAACAACCCTCACAGTAGAAATGCCAACGGCAAACACAGCAGCAACAAGAACAGCACTAGCAACAACAGCTGTAAAAGTAACATTTAAGAATCACAGGGTCAATGACGACCAAACACAGATACGTGTAAAGTAGAATATGAGACTACTACTGAAAAATGAAAAACAGCAATAGTAGCCTCCCTGAGAACTGCAACACAAAATAGACAGGTGTCAACCGGTCTCGATAATAGCGGTCTTGCAGACCAGAAGCTACAAATATCCTTTACCGCACAGTTGCACCCACCGGGATACACCCCGGCCGCGTTCTTAAAACCTCCGATTCTGAATAGCTTTTTGACAAATTACATGCAAACGCGTACTTTGTCGCAATATGTTGCAATTGCATGCTGCATCCTCCGGTGGACCCGGCAGAATAGACTCTACAAAGCATTCCGGCGCCAGGCCCAGGTCAGGCACGAGAATCCGAGCGCCCAAACCGCTGCGCGTCTTGATATGCGAACTCTGAAATCACGGGCAAACAGCACGACGGTCTAAACTGATCTGAAAGGAAGAACTCACACCGATTCTTATGTCTGAGTCCGATGCTTTCCCTGCAAGATGAAGGACGCAGACCCCTGAACACTACACTGCGGCTTAAGGAGCCAGCCTCTGTGCTTGGCATCGCGCCGCTGTCCTTGCTGTCTATTTCTGGTGTCTGCCGGGCGCATCATGCCAATTGTGACAAGTGCAGCGACCAGTTCTTTCGAGCACAACCATGCTCCCTGTGTGCATCAAAGGTTCAAATGCTCCCACGCGCAACTGGTCGCACACCTTGCCGAGCGGCGGTAGAGGCACGACTGTGACAGGTTGGAAGGTGTTTGGAGCTAGGACTCTCTTGGGATGTGTTTCTCCGTGGTTCAATTGCGACTCTGCTTGTTTACTTGCAATTACTCGATCTCGTCGTTCCATTCAGGGACTTGTACCCGAATCATCCCGAATCCATGGGGCATCCCACAACACCGCACTGTGTCCTCTCAACGTGCGCGGCTTCCTTCCCTACATCGCCTTTCTCAAAGAAGGTTTTGAAGCAGATCCTGATGGTTCCGCTTCGGCGTCTTCGTCGCCGGTTTAGGCATCCAGCCCCATGTCCTAACAACAGATTGTCGATCTGCCTCCTAGGAAAAAACTGTGCCGACTTGGGCAAGGAGCAAGTTGAAACAAAGCGCAGGAAAAGACAGACAGGAGCATCGCGAACTCGAGCTCTATGTTAAGTTTGTCGATCAAGTACCTAGTCTGATACCTGCTCTGCGACGATATGCAGCAAAGGATGGGTTTCCTTTGGGATCCTCTTTGTGCCCTGTCATGCAGAAAACTTCAAGACCTCTTTGTCTGTGCCGGATCAATCCACTTCCAGATCACGAGCTTTCCCTTGACTGAGCAGCTCGCCAGTCCCTTCACCGAAGCCTTGTCAGGTTGCACTCGGGACGACTGGAGCAGCCATGAACCAATCGTCCAACACACTGTCAACAACCGGACATACGGGCATGCACTGCCCATGGCCTTCACGTGAACCTTGGAAAAGAGTATCTGCACATCGGCCTCTGCAGAAGCTCTGCTGCCAGCTTTCGCGGAGAACAAACGCAGCATGCCTCAAAGTCTGGTATCGCACCATCTGGGATTGCCTTGAAAGGCGACAAGGGAGTTGAAAGGCGAGAAACTGCGCTGGTATTCAATAGATCTTGACAATTTCTCTGCATCCGGAGTTCCCAATGCTGGTGTTGGAGCCATCGCTCCAGCACTCCTCGCAGACATGTGCTTACGAGGGAGACAAATGTTTTCGCTTCAGAAGAATATAACTCAAAGTGAAAGAAATGACACGATTTAGCAGTCTCGTGGTGTCAGAATACACGTAACAACATGTCAGCATATTGTTGCTGACATTCAAGAACCCAAGCCACGCAGCCCCATATGTGCATCACTGACTTGCCTGGTTCCTGGAGGTCCAGTGCAGCACCTAACAGGGAGACGGCGATCTACGACGACTTTCCAGGCCGGAGCAAACTCCGATGGGCCATAAGTAAGATCATACTATGCTATACTATACTGTACTATACTATACTATACTGTAATATAGTATAATATAATTTAACACAATATTAATATAACAAAATCATCCCCTCTACCTGACTACGCCAAACAGAGTCTCTCTCGCTCTGTCCGAGCCACACGCAGAGACAATTTGAAGAATCATAACCACAAGTAGCCACAAGGGTTTTTTCGGTGCCGTGTCTAGATTCTGCATCGATGCTCCCCTTGGCGCCTCCTTGAAGCAGTGCCAGGCTGTACAAGAGAGACAAGAGAAAGGCCATCGCTCTTGGACATGAAACCTATGCTGGTGTGTGCCATGGCGTTCCGGGATGGTCGCCCGTGACTTTAACAAGCATCAAGACGGGCCCTACTTGGGGAATGTCCACTTGGCATGGCCCACGTGTCTGTCGTAAGACTGCAAACTTTGTGCTTCAGTGCTGTTGGGCAATACACATTGCAGCAGGCGAAGGCAGTCGCAAAACCCCATGCACCAAACCGAGCATGTGAGGTGCCTCTGAAAATCCAAACTTCAAAGCATTCTCGCTTCCTTTGCGCTACTTGTCGCGATCGCTGTCACTATTCCATCACAAACGCGAATTTTCCGATCGCAGCTCACAATCAAGACCAGAGCAAGACGAAAGCCCAGAGACAAGGATGGAAACTTCAACACCAGCCCTGCCGCAACACATGTTGGAACTCGCGATTTTGCTCAGCACCTGACAAATGAGCCTTTGCAAGCCCTTGACTTTTTGCCACCCTCCGCAGTATCACACAGCCATCCAGAAGCTACCACAGGTCTCGGAGTGGTCGAGTCTCGCCCTTTGCGTGAGCGGCTCACTGGGCCATTTGTGATTTCTGCTTTCCGGCATGTGATACCATGTACAACGAATGCCGAAGGCTGTTCAGCAGAGGAAGGCGCAGCTCCAATCACTTCAGTGGCAGTGGTACACCTTTGGCAGGGCCACTGAACACGCAAGTAAAATAATGCTTACGCAGGAGTGCCGATCAACCAATAGAGTAGCACAGCTCCATCAAGTCCAATCCCAGTGCTGCTTGATAAACGAAGGAGCAGCGCTTTCGAACGGCCAGCAGGTGGGCGACGGAAACCGTGTGGCGTCAACTGCGACCGACCCCTAAACTGGCCCTCAGGTGAATTGCGGTGCGTTGGCAGTAACATCATCTCAATTTCATTGTGCTCGAGTGACATCACTGCTGAAACGATTTAATCCAACCTGGCCGTCAAGCCAAACTCTTTGCATACCGAGCTTTCGTTTATGGGACTAGCAGCTACTAGCAGTACCTGGCTTTACATGTCATCAGTGCCCGTATGTCCATTGCTTCTCAGAACCACTCGAAGTCGGCAAAAGAAGAGACCCTCCAAAGCTTCTGCCACAGCACTCATCATGTCGCAGCTCCTTCGAACAGCCAGTACAAGCTGTTCGCAATCCTGGCGTCAAAAGCAGCAGCAAGAGAAAAAGCGCTTCGGAGCCCCGCGCGCCTTTGGAAAGAGGCGACCAATGATGCCTGGAAGGTCAAGACGAGGCGTTATGAGGCGTTTGAAGTAGAATCTCAATAATTTCAGTATGCCATAATATCAGCCTTGGTATGCCGGAACCTTTTAAGACAGTGCAGCTCTCAGCTCCATACTTGGATCTAAAGCAAGCACTGCCTGAGGCTGCGAGGCTTGACCAGGCATGCTTGAGGGGTCTGGGCGGCGATGTGCCGCTGTGTCAAAGCAACAAAGGAAGAAATTCGCCTGAAGCATAGAAAGATCTCCTTGGCTACAGCAGTTTAAAAGAACCCTAAACCCTAAACCCTAAACCCTAGAATGACAATGGACTCCAGGACATGCGAGGCTTTCATTTGTCGCATGGATATTTCGCATGGGCGCAGAGAACCAGAGCGGCATGCCGCGCCTATTCGGAAGGAGTTGCCCTTCGAAAGCTTGCCAGGGTAGATAACGAACCTCGTCCCGAAGGGAGGCGGTCAGAGACGTCACAACCGAGCTTTCTAGACTGATGGAAAAGGTTGGAAGGACTTCCCCCCTGTTTGGGCACTGGAGCCCAGTGGCCAGACATGAAACTCCATTAGCCTGTCACGCAAAACCAGGAAAAGCAATGCATCTGCTTCCAAACAGCTGCGTTGTGCGAACTCCTACATTAAACTCTTGAGTAAAATGAGGGGCTCGCCCCTGCTCCGCCAGCAGGTTGTAGAAGGTTTGAAAGTCGAAGTTCCTGGCGGGTGCGATGCGACCAAACGCATTCGAAAGGAACCGTGTCAGCCGTGCACCCACACAGAGTTTGCAGAACCATTGCCAGCCGGACGGATGGGAAGGTGTCTTGAATGTACAAATGCAGTACGATCGGTGTGCCTGCCGGCAGCGCGGACACACAATCGCGCTTGCGGCGGCAGGTGCGTAAGCAGCAAACCCTACACGCTGAAATATCGACTACCTTCGGCACGTAGAACTCAAAGCCCATTTCTTCCATGCCGCGCCTGATGCACATCGGCTGCAGACGAGCGGCATTCAGCTGTTCAACGAACATGAACGATGAGGACGGATCAGAACAATCAAATGGAAAGGCCCGACAGACATCTGATACACACTCACGGATGGCACAAGACAGCTATCAGAACAAACACATCACACCCTTTCGGTTTGTTACATGCACGCAGAGAGGCAGAGCAGTCGGCTCACGCAAATACGAATCTACAAGGGGTCCCGACAAACCCTATAAAGGGGGTCGTCTTGGCCAGAGCCTGGCAACAAGGCCCCCTTCAAAGCAAGAGAAGACAACTTCAGTCAGTTCTTCAGCTTCTCCAGGATCCCGGCTCCATTACCTCGTAGTTCGCCTTGCCAGATTCACAGGAGGGGTGTAGGGTGAACAGCCTCCGTATGCCTCAAACTTACAAAGGCGACTGGCAACGACAACGGGCTCGAAGCCGGCTCAGCACTTTGTCAAATCAACGGGGCAGCACCCTCTCGCTTTTGCAGCTGGGCTCCTGATATCGTGCTGCTCGCTGCTCTCTGGCCCCCTCTTGCAGGAACTCGCGCAGGGCCTGATCGAAATCAGGCATCTCATCTCGTCGATCGCTCGGCACAAAGTCTGGTTTAAGACGGACGAACTTGCATGACATGAGGTTTCGACCGTTGCAGGTCAGAGGTGCCCAGAAGGTGGTTTGCAAGATTTCTGTGTCCACCGCAATGGAACAACGGCGCCTGCTGGAATGCCAATATCGCATGCGTGGGCGGAGTGTAGCGGAACTGCCTTCCGCAGGCAGAGATTGGGAATGGAATCTGTGCTTCAAAAAGGATCAACGGAAATCTGAACTCAAACACTCCCTGAGCTCAGGACTTTGTGGACTCCATGAAAGCCCATTGCTCGTAGATGTCCTCATGTTCAGCCAGTCTCGAATTTTGAAGCTGACGTGATGTACTTAGGGTCATCTTGATGTGGCTTCACCTCAAGCCTCCGAGCTTGCAACGTTTATGACCATGTGCACTGTGCGCGTGCAGCCAAGCATCCAGGGACAAGCTTCGTGCATTGCCCTTGGTTTGCTGCAAGGCCTGGCGAAAGCAACACCGTGCCGCATGCTCATGGAAGGCCGCAGCTGGCCGACTCATCGCTAGGTTCCCCTCTCAGCATCAACCACTCGCGACTGGAACGGGTGCACCTCCCTGCTGCAGAGCACATAGCCAAATCCAGGAACGCCCTGCACCAAATCTTTGCAGACAAGCGTCGTCCCAGAGAGGCGCACATGAATTGTGAAATGATGGCAGAGGCGATGAGGCGATGCATCATGTCTGCAGGCGAAAACCCGAGACATAGTGAAAGCCAAGCGCCGAGTGTGCCTCGATGCATTTGTTCGCGGAGCTTACAGCGAAGTCGATGCCCCAAGACCTCGACTGCGCTATCGATGCATCGGCACATTCTCCGTGGACGTCTGCTTGAAAGCCTACCTTTCTGGACACCAAGTGGCATATCCAAGGGGTAAGCACCAAAACCGCTCATGGAGTCGACAAGAACTGGCGGGGTGCAGGCCCTCTGCTGGTCAAGTTCGGTGTTTACCTCTGACTTCCCGATCTTGAGTTTTCCCGGCCTCTCATTTTGGGAAACTCTGCCTTGATGTTCTTGACAAGCTCGTAGAGAGGGTTGAGAACCTTAGTTCCGGAGCTTCAAGCCAAAGCCGAATTCTGACTCTGCCCCCTGCAGCCTAGCTGCACCGGCTGTCGTCTCGTGGTGAACGAAAGAAACATCGGTGAAATCCTTCGCGTGGCTTTTTCAAGTCAAGTCACTGTAAGCTGTAAGTCACAGCCTGCCGGTCACTCCCCCTCCTCGTCTTCCCGCAGCGCAGCTAAGACCTGCAACTTATGACTCTCCATGCCAAACGCCTTAGGACCCCAACCAGACCGATGGCATTGTAATGCCTTGCGGCACTTAATTAGCACTGAGCCGTTAGGTTCGCCCATGTTGACCCTCTGCGCCGGCTGCCATCAGCTCACCAAACAAGGCCAAGCAGCGCGCTTCACGCAGATGGCATCATGGTCCTGGGATTCTCCCAATGAGGAGCGCAGTTGGATTGCGGTACTGAGCCTTATTTAGACACCACGGCTTCAAGAGAGAGAGAGAGAGAGAGAGAGCGAGAGAGAGGGGGCATGAGGTAGGCAGATGGCGCGCAGTGGTCCAGTGTACTTGGACAGCAGGTTCTCTTGGAACAGCACATTGAGGAGCGAGCGCAGTAAGCTAACAGAATCCAGAAGATGTAGTCGAAGAATATCCCCATATACTCCTCGCGGCGTGCGGGCGAGTGATGCTCTTCGGAATCGCTCGCGAGAAAACTCGTTGTAGAAATCTTCGGGCATTTTCTGCAGGTTGACTGGTGCTTGTTCGGCCGTCAAGGCTACGAGGCATGACGCACGTGGAACTTTCCTTTCCATTTAACGCTTCTTTGAAAACCAGAGCAACTAGGTTTTCCTCTGCACCTAGTCGTGCGAGATGGGTCCTGCAGCTTTGTAGGCTGCTCCTCTTCGAAGACGAAGCCTTCCTGCGGCCATTGCTAATGCAAGCTATCTAGTCGTTTGGATTTAGTCGTCCCGTTTTGGTTTTCCATCAGCGACCAGTATGCTTCCGAATTGCTACGTACATCCAACAGCAGACGCAGAGCTCTCAAGCAGAGGGCATTGAAAGCACCTTGTCAACGAGTGTCCACGGTTCACAAAGGATCCATCGGAAGGATCCGTATTTTCACTGCGAGAAGGACCTTATAAAGTTAGACTAGGGTATGCCCCACTTTTTTTGACCGTCCAAACGCCTCACACGTTTTTTCCCTAGGGGGGACCCTACGTTTTCAACATTTCAATAAATTTTTGCTCATTTTTGACATCCTACCCTCGCTCGTTCTTCACAATAATCTCAATAAAAAATCAACAATTTTATGATAAAAA